GCGGCCACCATATATACCACTTCATAAACGGGATGGCGCTTCGCTTGTCATTTGTATGGTAGGCTAATGCAAGATGAATGAACTGTGATGTCGTTCTGAAGCAACAGATATAAGAATTCACCATACATGGAAAATATTACGAGTAACCAGCTAATTGATCAACGTTTAGACGGAATCTACTTGAATGTTCAAGTTGCCAAGCAGCTATTTTGGTAAGGTTAATACTTGTTACTGTTTTTCTAGTAAACATTGAATTTAATACGTTTCATGCCACTTCTTTCCCTTGTACAATTGTTGCTGTGACTCGTTCATAAAAGTACTTAAGACGTTTATTGTGGAATGTTGATTCATGTGCTACCACAATATATAAAACAGCAATTGGCAAGCTTATATCATTTATGGCAACGTTTCTGTGGGTGTGAAAGGAAAGGACTACGATACTCAATTGAGGGGTTCAGAATTATCAAAACATTCTATTACGATCAATATGCTATTATTAACTTGGTTAATCGTTAGACGTGGCACATTCTCCACCAGACACAGCACTATACAGTCCAAAAATAATTCCATCTCAATTAAAGTAGAGTGGAATATCACAATTAAGCCCTGGAAACATGTTTGATGTGTAGGACTGAGTAGGATTTGAAACTCATCAAGTAGGATTGTAAACTCATAAAGTAGAATTAAACTCATCAAGTAGGATTTGAAACTCATGAAGTAGGATTATAAACTCATTAAGTAGGATTATAAACTCATCAAGTAGGATTGTAAACTCATTAAGTAGGATTTGAAGCAGCGAGTGAGGGTGGTCAGAGTTGCGCGTATCACAGCTACGCAAGTTGTCGTGGCTGCGCCGTTGGGTGCCCCGAGCGCCGCGACGCCCCGAGACCTTGGCACGTTGTGGCAGCTGCTGTGAGCGTGACGACGACTGATGGTGACACCAGTGGCACCGTACGCAACACTTCACTCATGTGATAGATAAACTATAACAAAACATTATATTCCAGCCTTGCTGTGCAGCATTAGAACTGCCGTGCAGCATTAGAACTGCCGTGCAGCATTAGAACTGCCGTGCAGCATTAGAACTGCCGTGCAGCATTAGAACTGCCGTGCAGCATTAGAACTGCCGTGCAGCATTAGAACTGCCGTGCAGCATTAGAACTGCCGTGCAGCATTAGAACTGCCGTGCAGCATTAGAACTGCCGTGCAGCATTAGAACTGCCGTGCAGCATTAGAACTGCCGTGCAGCATTAGAACTGCCGTGCAGCATTAGAACTGCCGTGCAGCATTAGAACTGCCGTGCAGCATTAGAACTGCCGTGCAGCATTAGAACTGCCGTGCAGCATTAGAACTGCCGCGCAGCATTAGAACTGCCGTGCAGCATTAGAACTGCCGTGCAGCATTAGAATTCAGGTTCACCTCGTACACTAGGTAACGCATGATCTCGCCTAACGTTTGTATCTCCAGCTAAAAATACAATGAAGAAAAATTTGATTCTTTTATTTGTTTGTATGCAGATTTTCAAGTAGGGCTATCATGATACAAATAATTTCAGATCACCGTCACTGTAAAAATATAACTCAATACTCACTGCAGTGAGTGATAGAGAAGTGCATTTTCTCGTCGACGAAAACGTGAAGTCACGGACGGACAGACAAACAGACAGACGGACAGACGGACGGACGGACATGGCGAGCACAATAGCGCATTTTTTCATAAATGAGAAAATGCGCTAAAAAGAATTCCGGTATCATAGCCGCGAATTGCCAGAGCAAAATTTCGGAACAGCTGACTGACGTAATAAAAATGTTAGACATTCGACAAATTCATTCATAATTTTCGTACACATGACGCACGCCTGCGTCATGTGTACGAAAATTATCGTGTAAGCACGCCTGCGTTTTGCATGCGTACATGAACATGTGCACATGAACATGTGCACATGATTCATGCTCGACACACGCAGGCTCCGTGAATAGGTCGCTCACTCAACAGCATGAGTGTGTGTACACGACTGACTGAGGCGTCGTGTAGTGTGTACACGACTGACTGAGGCGTCGTGCAGTGTGTACACGACTGACTGAGGCGTCGTGTAGTTGTCACGACGTTTGATGACGTCACGACGTTTGATGACGTCACGACGTTTGATGACGTCACGACGTTTGATGACTTCAAGACGTTTGATGACGTCACGACGTAGGATAAGTTCACATTTGGAGCTAAAAACGGCAAGCGCTCTCACACAAGCGAAGCAACTCGTCTTCACTGCCTCACCAAATGTTGCTCAGTCACGAGTGAGTTTCATAAAAGTACGCAAAATAGTGAGGCATCGCAGTCAGGTCGGGTTGTTTTAGAGCGTCATTTTCGGCCTCCGAATCGTTGTTTGCATGAATTAGTTCTATGCGAGTCTACATTTGCGACAAAAATTATCTCATATCCATAAAACTGCAAATTATTTATCTCGAGATCAAATCATATGTGATCAAGTTGTGTGGGTAAACTTTGCCCAAACTGTGCTGGTAAACTTTTCATGACTGCTTGGTAAATTGTGTATAATCTGTGTGGTTAAACTTTGACTTAAGTGGTTGGTTTAAACTGCGAATCGGCAAGAAATAGTAGCAAGAAGACGAAGTTAGATTTCAAGTTGCCAAAGGAAACACGTAGGAATAAAGCAGGCTTGGGAAGGTTGTTGAAAATTAGACGATATTTTACGATAGGAATTTTTATTAATTATAAATGGAAAACATTCGTTTAAAATCAAAGGAAATAAGTAATTAAATCAGCGGAAGGTAGCCAAAACAGCGCCTGGCGCGAGGCGAGAAAGGTACTCAAATGTCACGCTGAATTTCCGAAGACTTCACTGAAGTTTTGAGGAATTGGCCAGTTTAAATTTAAAGTACACTAATCTCTGCATTGCTTGAAGTAGTTGCCTCGGATATGACTAGAAATTAAAAATTTGAAAACGTGGAGAAATTTGTGACTAGTATCAAATCGGTCAATCGATTTGGCAATGAACGTTCTACATGTATGAAAATGAGCATATCTCAAATTTCACGAAGACAAATTTCAGCTTCACACCTCGATTTATTTTCTTCAGAGCAAGTTCACTATAATAGTATTTTTTTATTAAATTACAGAAATCTCGAGTTTTCACGATCAAAATAACAATTTCGACATTCAAGCATCAGGACTAACGTATATTTTTACCGGTTGCCTCTGCTGGCAGTTATACAGTATATGTTAACTGCTTCAAAAATATCGAAGGCAATTCTTTGCCGTTACACAACAGTGATCATCGATATATTAAATTTTTTCAATTATAATAAAGTGCTAACCATTTACCATTGGCGCTGTAAAGCCCTCTCATATGTATGGGTAAAAATGCGAGTTTGTTAGACTAGACAGAGCTCAACCGCAAGCTTTTTCAACGAATTTTCCCAAGACACTCTTGGCCGACTCCATTAACGTAATGCTCAAAATACTACTTTCATGAAAATTCTTTATATATTATTCAGCATTCTGGAGTGAGATTGATATAATTCAAAATATAATGTGTAACATGAACACGCAATTGCGGGGGCAGATGAGAGCCGCACGTCACACACAACCCACCACCAAGACAGCCCGCGCAACACTGATCGCTCTGACAAGGCAACATGAGGCCATGCCTTGCCAAGACAAGATTCATTCGTACGCCCACTGTAGAGCATCTCGATAACTGTACACATTCTGCTAAATGAGCGACGTTAATAACGCCTCGGAAGTGAGATGTTCGTTTTCAGTTTACCGTCACGAATGCGTACACTGACTACAACATCGGTTAGGATGTGCCATGTGCACCGGACATCGTCGGTGTTTCGAAGTTTTCAAGGATGTTTCACTAATAATTTATTGAATACTTCATGTGACAGTCTGGTCATCCTGCACCGGAGATATGTAAAAAATTGTTATTTTCCTTGAAATCGACTATAGTTTTGACATCGAGGCTCAAATAAAACATGGTAAAAATGAGCTAATTTTAATAACGACATGAAAAGAAAAAGATTTTACGCAAGACAGAATACTTGACACAAAATCACGAGTATATATATAGGCTTTGAGATTAATTTCACATAATTTACACTTACTGCTATAATCACGAATAGAAATTAAAAAAAACGAATTTTAAAACTTGCGCGAGAGTTCAGGCTTTTGAGTTTATTACACTAGAATAATTTATCCGTTACATACAATATTATCCGTTAAATAGCGCATACTTTAGAAGATCTACAGAGGAATGTAAGGAGTCATGTTCAAATTTGAGAATTACAGGACGTTCATCAATGCAATAGGCTGCGGATTAGTGAAAATTTTAAAGACGAAATAAGTTTTGTGGCACTCAGAACTGATCATATTTCATTACAGTTGAAAAATTAATTCGAAATAAAGACCTCTCAAATACATGATAAAAATTGGAACTTTAAGAAACAATTTATTTGAATGCTGCTTAGATAAAATTAGAGAATTACTGTCGAGACCTATAAATGGCCATTTGCACTTGATTTAAAGTAGACTGAAAGACTAAGAATATTGTCGCAGCAAACAGATCTGGTCAAACACGATCGCCTCATTCGGCACAGTTTGCCAGCTCCGTTGGCATTGGGACTGCGGATCTGAAGCTTCCTGAAGACAACTCCGACATTCAAATGCTTCATCACTGACTGGAAAGCCGGCGTTTCATACGCACCATAATTTGGTTGAAGTTGTAATCTTCCGAGGTCATGCCAGAGAGTATTCAGACCCAACAGTTTGAGAGAGCAAATAATACCTATAGCTAGTCAAGTACAGACTGTTAATCTAAGACGGTGATCTACAAAACTTTACTCGCTTGCGCGCCGCAATGAACTCGGTTTCATCCCATAGGCCTGATATAACAGCTAGAACTCGTGCCGAAACTTGCTTAGGGGTAAACTAGTGCATCAGAAATGACTATCTCGGGCATCGAATGACCTCAAGATCTACTATGTTTGCTGTCCAGGGGCATCAGACCTAGACTCCCGGTGCTTGAGTGTAAAGTGGTTGAGTAGTTCTTTACGGAACTTAGCTCTGAAGTCGCATTGTTCACATCGATATGGTTCCTGTCCCTGATGCGTACGCATGTGGGCGGTGAGATTGCCCCTGTTGATGCTGCGGTATGGACACACATGACAAGCGTACGGTTTTTCGCCAGAGTGACACCGCATGTGCACAATAAGTTTGCTACGACTCAGTGCCTGGTACTGGCAAGCAGGACACACGTGTTGTGGCGCAGCTGAGGTCTCAACGCGCTCACGTTTCGACGGCACAGAATATGGACTTCGCATGGACTTTACAGACCCAGGACTCGTGTATCCAAGCATATCGCCAATAGAGCGAGGCAAGCTTGCGGACTTGATGTAGCGGTTGTTCATCATCTCCACGGGTTGGGAGGTTAAGAGCTCATTTGTGAAGTCAGCAGCAGTCAAGGACAACTTAGCTGATGGCTGCAAGGAGTAAGGCTCGTGCAACTTAGGCCCCGGGAGACCCAGAGGGGCAGTCTCCTGACTCGAAAAGTAACAAGGTAACTCCCTGACGTCGTCGTGACCACCAAGCAACGGTCGTCCCAAGTATTTCATCTGTAAAAGGAATCATCGATTGAAAGATTACTATACTAATCATTAGTTCGCTAGTTACAAGTCTCGTTACTACGACCATTTAAAATTTGCCCTGAAAAAGTGAACGTCTTGAGAATTTGAACCCAATTTTTTCAACTGAAGTGGCAATAAATATTAAATCGATTTGATCTGAATTCTTCGTATGGAACAGCGGAATACGCGAATTAAATTCGTTGGCAAACAGTGCACGTGTATAGCCACGTAATCAACTCCGCTATAGCGTAGCAACCTATCCTACATATTGCTTTGTGGCACACATAATTGCTGATGTTTATTGCACATCTTGCGGCTTTCATGTGTCGTATATAAGAGCACCATTTTGGCTATTCGGGATATTTAACATTACAATGTACATCGTACATGCCGCTGCCATGGTTATATATTTATAGATGCAATAGGTCCCCAAATTTGGCCTACATTAGACATGGTTCATTTTAGCCTTCCTATGATCCGATTACATCGGGGGAATGTTCCTGTAAAATGAAGTTTAAAAGCGACTAAAATTTAACGGAGGTTCACGTCACATTGGTGGTTTTCTATCAACGTCTCTTCCATTACGCGTTTATATTTATCAGAATTCGTCGAGACATCGTGAAAGTTGTTCAAATCAATGTAGTTATAACACACCGTCCATTACTTCATTATATCAAACGTAGTCCGAAGAAATACTTAATATTAATCTATTCTTTTCTACATTATTATGCAAATACCTCGTACGTAGATCAACTTTAAAGTTGCTTTCATAAACAAGCATTAATCTCGGTGCTACAAAAAATTAATTCACATAAAGAAAACGAGTAGACACATAAAGAGAAACGAGTGTTCACATAAACGAAAAAACGAGTGTTCACTTGAAGAAAACATCCCTTGAATTGAAATTTCACTACAGAGGTCTACAGAGGTCGGTACGCTTGCTACCAGGAATAGTTCAGTAAGCCTCAAAAAGACCATTTCTTATAACCATCGAAAGTAATTCACACTTATTTATACGTTTTAATTCGCAACGAATATTGGAACAATAATCAACGAAACAGACATTCAAGACTTCCGTTCCAGTTCAGCAACAACATAATTGGCGAGTGCGCGAAGTTGAACTTTCTACTGCCCAATGAACGAAAACTGGAGAAAATTATGTTTAATTTTCAGCCGACAAAAGCGATAATCACATGAAAATAGTGAAAAATTCTAAGATAGCACCTATGCACCAACTACACTATTCAATAACACTTACTGAAGCACAATATTGTTTTGCAAATAGAAGATATCCCTTAGGCAAATCTTAGGATCAACATCTAACCGAAGAAAATTACAGGTAATAGCCAGTGACACGCTTTGTACATGTTCAAAATGAAGCCTTGATTGGCTAATTGAAGAAGCCCACAATTCTTTATTTACACGCATAAGTAATACATAAGTGGTTATAAATTTCAAATAAAAGAGAAATACACTCAAAATACAATTCTCACGTCCAATAATTTTTTCACCGCACTCGACTTTCGTAACAAATAAAACACAGCAGAGAGTTCATGTAGGTCTCATTAACAGTCAATTGATACACTTTCAGTGATGAGAGACATTAAATTTTTGTAGAACAGGAGAGATGTGAAGAGGCTCTTTCGTTGGGTAAGAAGGTAAAACTCCTCGGAAATATTTGTTCACAGAGAAATAAGGGGGAAATTGTTGAACACTGCTGATATCCATGTCGACAAAAATCATAACTCTATCCAAGTCCGACAAGGTCATCAGTAGCATTCGAGGACCGTTCATTATTATTTAATATTGGTATTTTGAGAACTATGAATGAGTATCATAAGCGAGTAAATTTAATGTTGTTCTCTATCCGGAGGCTCAGTCTCGGCAGAGTCACTAGAGGCAGAAGCTCGTGACAACGACACCGACGTCGAGGCGAAACTGGCGTAGTCTGCGGGGGGCGCGGCCACCGAGGAGTCGGGGGCGGCAAAGGACCCTAGCGCCTGCAGCGTGCGCTCGATCTGCTCGGAAGTTTCGTCCTCGGCAAACATGTGCATGTCACTTCGACCTCTCATGTCTGGGCGCTGCTGGTGAGATTGTTGATGTTGTTGGAGATGTTGTGGTAGCAGCATGTTGCTGGTGGTGCTGCGTGGTAGTTGTTGTTGCAGCTGCTGGTGGCGCAGCAGTGCGCTGCTGTCGAAAACACGATGCAAGTCCTGCTGGTTAGGATCAACCAAGCCACCCAAATTTTGAGGTAAGCCGCGTTGCTCGCTTCCAGAGCTGCGTTGTTTTTCCGTCGTAGTGCTCAATGTTTGTACAGGTGCATTACTGGCGTACGAAGAGTATCTGTTTATGGTTATTTGGTGAACGTTTACCATGTGTGTCTTTAATGTAATTTTATGTTTGGCCTTGAAATTGCACAGATTGCACACGAATGGGGTCTCCCCAGTATGTTTGCGGAGGTGGGTCTTAACATTCCCACTGGTGGTAGATTTGTAGGGACAATAGGGACATTTGTATGGCTTTTCCCCGGAGTGGCTACGGAGGTGGATCTTGACAGCGCTCGCGTACATGGCCTCATAGCTGCAGATGTTGCAGCGGTACAGTCCGGAAGGAAGCTTCATGTATCCACTTCCCATCTCCGTTGAGCGAGAAAGGATATCGCCGGAATGTGAGTATCTGGGACCCATGCCCGCATCTCGGGCGGTTGTGGAATCAGAGTCGCTGGATGCCCGAGAGGACGACCTGCTGATCTTGCGATGTTGGTCGGTATCAAGGGACGTCGCGAGAGAACCTAAAGGTCGGCCACTGAAGTTCACGTTCGTCGCCGGGTTCGAGGTCGGTCCTGTTGACCACAGCGCTCTGAGCTCGTCCAGCGACGCGGATCCTTCCGACGAGTTGCCACCAAAGGACGACGATGCCTCGATCGTCAAAGGTTCGTTAGAGATGTCATGGAAAAGTGATTTCTTGCACAACGTTGAAGCGGCTCCAGTAAAGTCAACCAAATCGTCGTGTTTGGAGCCGCTCGAGCGATAGGAGTCGACATAGGCTTCAGAGTGGCTGGGACTCTTGGGCTCAGTCAGGAGGTGATCCGCGGACTCATCCCTGGCGGATAGAATGACGCAGTCGTCATCGGAAGCAGCGTTGCCCTGCAGAGGCCAAGACAAACCAATCAGACACAAGGAATAATCAGCTTTTCGTCTCCTTCCATGACTCACAAGTCATTCCTACGCCTGTACAAAAATGATCGTTTCTCAGATAATGTTTTAATAACCGCGATTTCAACGCACCCCAACGCATAACGCATTGATACAAATACTCAGAAGGTAAAAGAATATAGGTAGTTCAAACACAAGTTGTAATTGGCCTTTTTAATTAAAAGCTATCAACAGCATATTAGCAGTTTACAGTGTAACTATTTCTAAATAATAGGAAAGGAAAAACTGGTAACAGTACAGCAACCAACAAGTTCACTAGGACTTTACTCATCAAGCCACCACGCATCGGAAACAAGATATTAATCACCCACAAATGGCCTGCGCGCTGAAGCGGGAACAACATAAGCAGCGTCAGAAGATCAGACGCGAAAAAGGGACAGGAGAAGAGCAACGAAGACGTGTATACAAGAGATCGCTTGCGCTAAACGGAAAATGAAAATGCAAGCTATCCTGCCTACGTAATAGCCTAGTCAAACACGTCACAATAGTGGCACGTAGTCTCTCGAAAGGCAGGTAACACAATAATAAACTAAACGACCAGCAATATTGACGAGAGAAAACCATGCATCTCTGAAACGTTTTGTCAAGACAAACATTACACAATAAATATTCCTTTTATAGCGCATAGATGACTTCCAATTAGGTCTATTGACAAACTAGATCAGACGTAATACTGTACATGAACCTCTCAAAGTTTTACATCAATATTTAGTTCAGCTTCTTACAACAGGGCGTGAACAATTAATCACAATACGAAATTAATGACACCACAAAGCGCTTATCAATACGAGCGAGCGCAGAAAAAAATTAGCATTTGAATGAATTGTAAATAGCGAGCATGCATGTCGTTATTAAGAAAAAAGTATTCAAATAAGAGAGTAAAGCTAAGTTCAGTTCAATAGCCGATAGGGAGAGACGACGCATGCGTAGGCGACCAGGAGTGTCGTCTCTCATCCTCCGGTCCCTCTATGCAGCAAATGCTTCGGGAATTATAATAGCAATTTTGTTAGAAAGTTACATCCTCGTTACTAAAGCTTTTCGAAACAGCATGAAGGCTTCAAACAACGAAACTTAGTGCTTATGAATATTATTGATTAACGTTGATATTCGGGCACTGAGTTGACAACATTACAGAATTTGAAAGAGGTCCTATAGGAATGAGACCCAACTCCTCCTCGCAACCGAGGATTCTTATTATGCGCATTTTAAATTAAGGATTCAAATGGACTAGAAGTCCATGCGCATGAAAAGCCATCACGATGGCGGAATTAGAAGTTACTCAATAACAATAGGGAAATTTGCCTATTTAAGTAACATTATCAATTGAAATGCAAATACAAGCTGCATTTTGTGTGATATACGAACTCAAAAAAGTAACTTAATGTTTTAATTACTTAAGTAACTTAACCTATAATTTTCCATTTCTAAGAATTTCGAAAAACTTCCAAAAACTTCAACAGAAAATCCCAAGTTACGCAGTCGATTGGAAGAATTTCACCTCCAGCATGGCCCATGCGTTGCAAAGCGTTCAGTGGTTGCTGTGTTGGTAGCAGATGACATGGTGAGGCGCGGATAATTGGTCAGGGTGTTTACGGCGCATGTGCGACACTGCGTTCTGTTTGGTGGTTGCCCTGTACTTGCAGTGCGGGCACCCGAAGGGCCGTTCACCTGTGTGCCATAGCTGGTGGCGAGTCATGTTTTGTTTGGACGGTGTCGTATAGGGGCATTGCGAGCACGAATGTAATGACACGCTTGAGCTACGGTTCACTGTCGAACCTGACAACGCAAGCGATGAAGAGTCGAAGTCTGCGCTGTAAACGTACGATCCTAACTGTGCGTCATCAGAATGAGACGAAACAACATTATGAAGGCCGCTGTACCGACCTAGAGAAGCTGAATCGCCCTCTTCTCCACACATAGACGACAAAATAATGGGGTTGTCTCTGTCACGATCCTGAGGGTACGTTTCCGACAGATAATCGAAACCCAAATTTGTCGCATCGGCACCTTGACTGCCAAAACTATGAGGTTCATTATTCAAAGAATCCGAGGTGTCGTCTCTATTGAAATTAATTTGTGCATCTGACGCTCTTTCGGACCAAGCAAAAGACGGGAACAAAGACGTCGAAGAAGCGCCTCGGTTTCTCGGCGCTGGTCCTATTCTGTCGTTGAGGGCAGAGAGCAATTTTGTAGGGTGAGAGCTGAACCCAGCCTGACACGATTGAGGTTTCTTCTGATACGAAATATCGGAAGGTTTGAAGGACGGAGTTTTCTGGGGAGCATTCAGGTGAACGCGGCCGCTGCTCGGACGGCAAGCATGCGAGAGCTGAAGAGCCGTATCGCGCCGCACCTGCAGATGATCATGACGTTAGGACTTGCACGAGAAACCGACACCTCAGACTCGCTTCCATAATAAGACTATGATGATACATCCGTACCTAAGATTCTGAGAAAACTAAGGCATTATGCGGAGAAAAGTTATCTAATGAGTAAAATATTTACCCATACCGCAATATTAGTTCTGCTCAATCCAGCCGTTCACTACTAGAATATTCCCCTGAATAATGCATTCATGAGAACTGAAACTGCAACGAACGCCACTATAATTTCCATCACTTAACACATTCACGACCCTTGGACGCCCGAAATTACAGGAGTTAATAACAAAGCTAACTCCTCGTAATTAATATTTGGTCCCTGATAAAAGGATAAAATTTCTAATACGCAGAAAATAAAGATGCCAGAACATATATAACGCGACAAGAAAACCATGACAATTTTACCAACGTCTGAGAACACGTATGACAACAGGAATAAGGCAAACCTCAAGCTAAACCTGGTGTCAACGATGTCAAGAAGAATCCAGTCAAATAAACTATTTTCTTAGCGAGAATTGGTCACAATATTGTGCTTGTTATAAATATGGAATACAAGGGATTTCTTTTCAATGCTGCGATACGAGCAGAAATTGCACGAGAAGGGCTTTTCTCCGGTGTGCCGTTTGCGATGTCGAGAGAGGTTGAACTTGTTCGTAGTTTGGTAGGAACAGAAGTCGCAATAGAAGACAGCAGACGCGGTGACATTTTCTCCTCCGAAAGTACTAGCGTTTCTCTGTACTTCATCGAGTGCAGCAACGTTCAAAGCTACATCGCGGTCAGACTCGTGATATCTCCGATTGGGATGCAAGGAAAACCCGAAATTTCTTCCAAAATCAGAAGCATCAACTGAAGTTTGAGTCGTGAAGGAAGGAGAATCCGTTTCAGCAAAATCGACATCTTCCAGAATTTCGATGCCATCACTCGTTTGCGTGTCTTCTGATCCGAGCATCTGACCATCATTCTCTTGTTCACATTTTTGTATGCTCATCGTTTCGAAAATAATCTTCTGCGTAGCACTTGTAACGTTTGTATCACTATGGATAACCTTATTTTCAGCACCGAATGCTTGTTGTGCACCACCAGTGCTTGAACTATAATTTTCCATTCCAATTGACATCAAAATTTTTTCAGAAGAAAATTCACACGAAGGCTGGCTGCTTCTGTCCGTCTTGCTTGACGTTACTGCCGCACTGCCACGAGCACTTTTCTCCGCTGCGTGATATCCTCGGAGGGAAGCGCCGTAGCCTTCGTCAGGAGCGGTTGCCAGCGCCTCTAGGGACGAGACACAGCGTTGGGTTGGGCGTCGTGGTATAGTGCATGCGGTGTCGTGTGGCTCAAGACGTCTCCGCATCTGCACACAATCACCACACGCGTCACAACGATGTTTGTGTGCACATCACCTTATCATACCTGCAGCACTCAATGCCAGAGATAACAGGTATCTTCGAACATCACCACAATAAGCATCACCACGTTTGCACTTCACACCTGCTAACGCGGGGGTCATCAAATATCCCTCGTACTTATGGTGAATCACGGAATGTAATCGCCTACTGATGTGTCAGTGCATCATCACAGTTAATGAATTGAAAACATCAATAATTTGCATTATTATTATTACCTAATTCCTCTAGTTGCTATGTAGCATTCCGTAACAAAACTAAATGGATGAAACAGAAAGAAATATTATTGAACAGTTTATTCTTTAACCAAACATTCCGGATAGTTCAGCTTCAAATCTTTAAATATTACCGAAAGGTAACGGATACTCGTTATGGGATGAGTTAGTTAGTTAGTTTAGTGGCCAAATGTTTACTAGCGCTTCAGCTATTTAGCTATCTCGCACCGAAAGTCAAGATGAACATCACCATAGAGGTGGAAGGTCTCAATTATTCATCACCCACAAGAGGTGGAAGGTCTCAGATGTCCAGCCCGCTGAAGCTGGCTCGAAAGAAGCAGCGTTAGCATCTCAAAGAGACGAAGTGACAAGGAGGGACAGGTGAAAAGCAACAGAAACGAAGACACTCGAACAAGAGGTCGCTTACACGGGACGTCGGCCGCCCGCACGAGAGAGACAGAGAAGGGAAATGTAAGGAATCCTACCTACATAATAACTTAACCCCGCAACTGAGACCTGCAGTCAGACACCGCGAGCTCAGCGGTGGGGCGCTCAGGAACAATCCCTTTAGGAGCGCGAAGACACGCGTCAGAATACCTCCTTGAGGGGGTGGAGGAATTTCGCATGGAATTCCTCCACGCGTATGCCATTCGAAGCATCTGTTATATGACATTGTTGTTGTTGTAGTGTTGTATAATTCGGGGTCATACATCACTTGTATGATCATAAGGCGCATACAAGTGTTTTAGTGTAACGAATTCAGTGCAGACGCAGCAGGCACATCCAGACGCATCTGGTATCCAGAAACATCTGGCATCCAGACGCAACTGGCATCCAGATGCAACTGGCATCCAGACGCAACTGGCATCCAGACGCAACTTGCATCCAGACGCAACTGGCATCCAGACGCAACTGGCATCCAGACGCAACTGGCA